TAGTTAATTTGATATTAATATCGATATTTTTTTTTCAAATTTTTATGATATCTTCAAACATATATTTTATTCAAAAATAAAAACATCATCGTTTTTTCAAAATCACATAAAGYTATATTATAACATCGACTGAGATAAAGAACAAAATGAAATATTAAAATCACGATATATCTCGCTGCATTGCGCGAGTACGCTTCTAGTTATATTATAAAACATTTAAGTTTTACTTCTTAGAAACAGCTGGGGGAGGATGCGTCGGACGTACGCCCAGGACCCACAAAAAATAAGGGCCTGTTTTTTTTTCATATATACTATACAATATATCGTAGTAGTTTAAAAAAATTAATAAATAAACAAATAGACAAAAAAAAAATTGATATCCAATATGATCCAAAAAGAATTTAGCATTATATTAAATGGCCATGCATATATTAATTAATTACATTGAAGAAAAAAAATGTGTAAAAAATCAATTGGTTGTTCTTTTTATAGTATTGATTATTGTTTTTATAAACTCTTTTATCTACTACTAAGATCTAAAACTACCTTGATTGATATATTATTCATTGTTCATCTCTCATTGGCTTATATTGAAAGCTTTTTCATACTTATTGAGGGCTCATTTTTACATCTCGCTCAGAGCCTATAAAATGTTCGGAACGAACCCACTTAGAAACTATGTTAAAATAAAATCTACGTTATCTTAAATATAATTATTTTTTTAATTTATATAAAAACAAATATTTTGTTCTATATATACATATTGATTAATAAATTTTTTATATTTTTTAAAATAGTGTTCAAAATTGCAATTACGAGTATATTCATACTATATTTTAACTATATTATACAATATTTATAACTTATTATTACATATATACAATTTAATAGTACTTTAAACGTTATAAAACTAAGGGGCCGTTTACCAAACACTTACCCGGTAAATGCTTACCGGTAAAATTTAGCACCATTGTTTACTTACCGGGTAAGATTTTAATCCATCAAAACGATATGGTATGCAACAATTCACCCGTTAAGCGCTGACCGTGGTAAGAGTCGTCGCCCTCACTTACCAGGTAAGACTCATGGTCCTTGTCTCGCTCTTACCGGGTAAGATTCTTAGTCCTTACCATATTCATCCGGTGAAGTAATGCGACTTGATAAGCGCTTATCCAGGTAAGTGTTTGGTAAACGGCCCCTAACTCGATCAATTAATAAACATGTTCAAATTCATGATAAACGTTAGAACCCTATTAATATAATAAAATACTTTATAAAGCTGATAACTAACAGAAAACTCTTACTCTCCCAAAACCAGACAAATTCATAAAATAAAATCAAGACACAAAAATAGTTTTTGTTATGGTAAAATGTATATATTAATCGAAAATTCTTGAATCCAGTCCCTGATTTATGCAATCTACTCTTTGAACATCACCAAAAACCAGGTGATGTTCCTATTTACATGGTTTTCCCACAAAATCTTTGGATCTCAAAACAGGCAGGGAAAACTTTAAATGGCTAAAAGAATACAAGATGTTTCCGCAACTTTTTTATTTTTGTATCCGCTTACGTAAATGCCTCTCGTTGCTTCGTAGGTAAATCCAGTTCAGGCTCGAGTGCCGTTAAGGGAGAGAAGTACTGATCCACCATGTCTTGTGATACATGCTCTAAGCTCGGTGGGTCCCACTACAAAGTTCGAAAGCGAAACACTAATAAGTCCTTATGAACAAAGATCTACCACTATTCAAGAACCTATAATACGATACATTATGTGAAAATACGTGAAACCCCATCAAATTACTCTCCAAATGTCCCATATGGTAGACCTTGGCTCTCATACCATGTGAGAATGCATACAATCATATTATTCTTCAAAAGAGCCCTTGAGGATAGAAGGAAGATTCCAACTTATATTGAAGTAGAAAGGTCCATGTCTAACCAATATGAGACTCTAACACGCCCCCTCCAACAGAGACCAGTTGGACATAGATTGTCCCCATATAGTAGGCTTTGACTCTAATATCATGTTAGAATATGTGAAATCCCATCAGATTACTCACCAAAAAGGCCCTTGAAGACAGAAGGGAGATTCCAACATATATTGAAGTAGAAAGGTCCACGTCAAACCGATATGGGACTCTAACATGCCTCTTCCAACTGAGGCTAGTTGGACATAAATGTGCCCCCGCCCCAGATAGTAGACCTCAACTCTAATACCATGTCAGAATATGTGGAATCCTATCAGATTACTCTCTAGAAGAGCCCTTAAGGAGAGAGAGGAAGTTCCAACATATATTGAACATTTGAACTAGAAAGGTCTTTTCTCGCAGATGGTGGCATAAAATAAGAAAATGTTGATACCTTTGGTGCAAAATCTTTATCCAACACTCGTGATCGAACACCCTGATGAAGATATTAGCTGATAAGGTGATCCTAAAGATAATCTTGAAAAGTAGATGAACAAATGACAGCAACCAATATACCTCACAGAAATCACTTGATATCTGGCCGGAAACTGCTTGTAATGACATTCGGTATTCACGAATTAGGCACTGATCAAGAGTCTGAAATCGCCCTTCTCGTATCTGAATAAGACACGAAAACAGAATTCAAATTATAATACTCGAACATTGGGTTATGGAACCAGGCTATCTCGAAGGGACTTACTGATCTCAAGGCAACTTTCAAGCTCAATGGTGATGCTAATTCTAGTTTCTTCAGGGTGGAATGGCACCACCCATCATTAGTTTTCGCAGCTTCACTTTCCTGACGGTTTTTCCAGATGCAGTTGTTCATTTACGGAAGTTTTCATAAAAGAACACCAAATATTGAAACTTAAGGTGTAAAAGATTCCAACGTTACCAAGGCAACGATGATTTCCTCAATAGTATCATAGCTGAAACATTTGTCTAGCATTTCAATCCTAAACAAATGAAAAAAAAAATCAATTTACAGTCAAGAGTGACAACTGGAATATTTTAATATAAAATCATTATACCAAATAAAAAAATGACAATTTTTATAGGTCACAAAAGCATACCTCCGGATAACACTGGCATTATCAGGATAGTCAAGGTCACTGTGCTTCTGAAGAGAGGTTTCAATTACAGAAGGATCATCGGTTATCAGATTCCTGAGACATTCTTCAATTGGCGAAAGATTCTGTAGACGAAGTGATCATATTACTCTCATGAAACCCGGGAAAATAATGATCACACAAGTAAGAAAAGGCCCAAAAAAACCAACTGCGCTGAGTGAATAATGTGTAGCCAGTCCACATGCAACCAATTCTACTCCATTGAGCCTGTCTCCTGTTAGAGCCAAATACTCCCCTGCATACACGTCGAATTTTGCCTTTCAGCATTGTTAACTAATGATGAGCCAAGCAATAATCCTGCTAAACCATTATGTCAATCACAGGACTTTAATCATTATATGATCTGATTAAGTGATACAGAAATTGGGTCCTCAAATTGTTTAAAAAAAGTCATTCTAAAATTCATGAGCAGTTTTCAGTAAGATGAAATTGTGTTCCCTGTTACTAACATACCTAAATAACCAGGAAGATGAGAAAGATGAAAGGAAGCCCCAGCATCAGGATGAAAGCCAATTAAAGTCTCCGGTGTAGCAAAAACCTGCAGAGCAGTAGAAGAATTAAAACTACATGTTACAAGGGTTGATACACACACACATAGGGTCATGTTCAGGGGAAACCGTAAAAAAATGAAAAACTGAGGAATACCCTGGTGACCATCCATCTGTACGATGTGCACATGTGCATATAAGTAATTTGTAAGCAATTTGTCCGGTATGCACAGGTGCATAACATGCACATGTGCATAAAAACCAAGAATCAGCTTCAATTACTTGTATGCACATGTGCATACCGTCCATATGAATGGGTTACCAAGGTGTTTATCAGTTTTTCATTTTTTTAGGGGTTTTCCCCTTAACTTCCCTCTAGAGAGAGAGAGAGAGACTGGTTAGGAATTCCAAAATCCATAGGAACCACCCAAAACCGTTGGATGAAGCACGCCTCTAGATCCAGCGATGCTGATGGACACAATGACATTTTGGTAATTAAGGGGAACTTTGATGGCAAAGCTGTTGGCAAACATGGAAGTTAACATTGCTTAACCCCCACCAAACAGCTTAATGCACCTTACACTGAACATGTTAACATAAAAATATTCAAATTTAATATACGTTGACATACCATAACCTTGAACATTCATGAATATATGTAAGCATACCCCACAATCTTAACAAATATTAACATGAAAGCACTACCATCTTAACCTGCAATCTTATCACGCCTTAATGCAATTTTTAATACACCTTAACTCATGTTAACAAAGATTAACCATGAAAACCAAAACACACCTTAACAGATTGTAACATACCTTAACATGCATTAACACATAGTAACACACCTTGTAATAAAATTATTTTAAAAAATAGGGGCAATCTGGTCATTTCAACTGTTTTGTCATGTCGTATTTTAGTCATACAAAACGCAGGACAAAGACTTACCCGTTTGGTTTGATGGAATGTTTTTGAGAGATTTGGAATTGGGAGGATTTAGAATTGGAAGGATTTGTAACTTTTGGTGTGTTTGGTTTCTATGATTTGGAATGGAGTTGAATTTTGTTTCTTATAAATAATTAATAAAAATAATCAAGTTACCTTTTTATTAATTGATCATTACAAAATAACTGGTTTTAACATCTTTTAAAAAATTATTACAAGCAAATCATATGAAATCCCACGAAATACCAACTTACTCCTTAGGATTTCAAAATCCTATATTTGTAGGATTTCAATAAAATCCCGAGATTTCAAATCCTAGAAGTCCTTCAAACCAAACATGGGATTGGAATGGAATTCAATTCCAAATCCCTCCAAATCCAATCCAATCCCACAAACCAAACTGGATCTTTCAAATCCCTGAAATCCCACAAACATAGGATTTTGAAATCCCATGGGAATGGTTGGTATTTCACGAGAATTTGTATGTAAAAATATGTTTAAAACATTTGTTTTGTAATAATCAATTAATAAAAAGGTAATTTAATTATTTGTATAATTATTTACAATTTGTTTTAATGAATTACTAATAAAAAATGGAATTCAATTCCATTTCAAATCCTACAAACCAAACACACCAAAGATTTCAACTCCTATATCCAAATCCCAATTCCAAATCCTTCCACGGAATCCAAATCCCTCAAAACCATTCCATCAAACCAAACTCCCCCTTAATCCATTTCTGTCTTGGCCGGTCTTGTCCTGTCCCATCTAGTCTGTGCACCAAACGCTACCTAAAGCTCACTTATCTTCCACTCTCCTAGTAATTTACAAATTCAGATAACAGCCAAAATAATCACTTAGGCATTGTTTGGCAAAAATAAGCTAGCTTATTTTCTAGGTACATGTTTGGATGCACACAAGCTAACTTATTGAAACGCTACTTGGAGTAGTGTTTTGGTAACTTATTGTCACTTTTTCCAATTATAACCCTCATTAACATACCAAAGGGCCTTTGGCCTAGCGGTATCGTAGCCCTTGGCCTTCTAGGAGGTCAGAGGTTCAAACCTCACCATAGGTGAGGAGGGTGTGTGAGTTTATTTGTTGCATTTGCCGTATATAAATATTATAT